CTGCTGGGCATGGTAGTATATATGCTTTTAATTCTAGCACTCAGGAGGCAGAAATAGGTGGGTCTCTGTGAGATGGAGGCCAGCCTGGTCTACATTTTGAGTTCCAAGCCAGCTGGGGCTATAGGGACACTCTGTCTCAAATAAAACAAAGGCTAAATGTAAATGGTAAACTATACAGTAGTCTAACCAAATTTAGAAAATATACACAATCTTGGTTCAGGGAAGTCTTAGTGTATGAAAACTACTAACCTAAACTGGTAAGATCTGTGCAAATTTTTTTATTTATTATTTTTATTTTATGTGTATGCATGTATTGCTTGCATATATGTAAGTGCACCTGTGTCATGTAGTGCCCACGGAGGACAGAAGAGGCCATCAGATACCCTGGATCTGGAGTTTCGGACAGTTGCTAGCTACCATGTGGGTGCTGGAATTCAAACCCTGGTCTTCTGCAAGAACAGTGTCCTTAACCACTGAGCCATCTCTCCAATCCACGATCTGTATAAATTTTAAACTTTCTGTATAAGCAAAACATATCACAGTTGAGAGACAAATGTAGACTTAGAAAAAAGTAGAGACAAGACACAACAGTTGAAGAACTATTACTGGCATGATAATTTATGATACGTCCATAACTTGGAATATCACATAGCCAATAAAATGTCAGATTTAGATGTACTGACCTCAAAAGAGGTCTACAATATTAAATGAAAAAGCTGTAGAATCAATGGTAAACAATGATCTCATATTTGGTCTAATTAAAAAAAAAACCTATAGAATAGAAAACTAATATTGGGAGTTTTAGGAATTCCTACTTAGACAATTTAATTTCCCAAGTGGTCAGTGAATATGCATCACTTTTAAACATCTATTGTTTTATTAGAGATCTTGCCATCAAGGTATTACTGTCTGATAATGTCTTCTGTCGGGGGTATTAAGGTATAAGCAGACGATACACTCCTTTGGAATCTTCGACAACAGAAAACAAAACAATAAAAACTACTTTTAAGGGCAAAATGTTCAGTAGCCTTTTTATGCCAAAGTAAAAATGCTTTTAAATGTTGCAATTTTATAATTACAGCAAACCACCAAAGATTTTCTTCGGTAGCAGAAATAAGTTTTTCAGTCCATTTCATTGAGTAATAAAATTATGTTCATTATATGGACATAAACAAGGGGCAAACATTAAGCTCAAGCAATTATCTTGTGTCAGAAATTGAATTTTCTCAATGATATTCATTCTTAGCAACAAATGCATCGATATTACAATTTATAAATGCTACTCAAACAGCTAAATTCTAGTCTAATGTCAGTATAAAGTCCCAAAGAGCCAGGCATAATTACAAGAGTTCCAATCTTGACTCTGCCACTTTCTAGTGATATGTCTTGGGTAAATTATATAATCTAGTGATTATTCTAGATCTGAAAAATAGCTATCTCTGGTATTCCTGGAAGGTTAAGTAAGAATATCACATAAAAAATTATCTAGTTACAGTCTGACCCCATTTAAACACACCTTTTGTCACATTAATGGTCAATGTCACTTTCAGTGTTTTGGTTTTTTCCCCCTTTGTCGTCTCCCCCCGCCCCCGGGGTCTTCCTGTAGCCCCAGATGGCTTGGAACTGACTATGTGGACCAGGCTGGCCAAGACTTGTTTTAAAAAAGGTGGGGGGGAGGGTGGCAGGCAGGGTAGAACTTGCCTGTAGTTACTTCCAAGGCTGAGACAGAAGGATCACTTAAGGCTAGGAGTTCTGGCCCAGCCTGGACAGCACCACAAAGACACCATGTCCTTAAAATAAATAAATGAACAGCTTAATCAAAGACTGCACCCACAATGAAGGGCATCTGGGAACACAAATTAGACTCTATAGGTCTTATTATACAAATAGAGAACATTAAATTGGGTGTGGGGTAAAAAAGGGAGATGCAGATAGGGAAGGGGATCTAAATATATTGTATGGAAATTCGAAAAAATTCAATAAAAAAGTAAAAAAAAAAAAAAAGGACTTCGGAGTTGATACATGACGCCTACATCTCCATATGCAACTTACTTCAAGTATTTTTACATTTGAGGCTATTTTGTTTTGTTTTTCTTTCTCTCTTTTGGTTTTGGCTTGGTTTTTTGTTGTTTTGGTTTGGTTTTTTGTAAAGAAAAGGTCTTGCTATGCAAGCAACACATACTGGTCTTGAACTCATCACGCTCCTGCCTCAGACTTCTGCAAGCTGGGATTACAGACTTGGACCACCATGGTTAGCCCTCGATTATTTCTGAGAATTACTTATTCTGATGTCTATTTGCTGTTTCTGATATGGCTATTTATTTTGATGCACACTTAACTACTCCTGCAAGATTTTTTTCTTATATGAAAATCCTAATGAAGCACGCTCTGATCCACCTGTGGCTTTCTACATCGTCAGATAACTTCCTTTGTAAAATCATTTAGGTTGTGCATGAAAACATCCTTCAAGTACTGCAGAAAAAAAGCATTAGGTAAGGAGGAAAATCAACAAATTTAAGCTATGCTTACACACTGTAGTGTTTCCAAGAAATTAAATCTAGAGAATTCCAAAGTAACAATACAACAAAGAATAAGTACAAGTTATTATTTTAATTAACTTTTAACTTACTCTAAGATGAGTCATTTTTTGTGTGAGGTGGGAGCATTAATGAGGACAGAATATGACTGTAAGTGTATAAACCAAGTAAAAGGAAAAGAGCATCTTGTTGAACCTTCAATAAGTAAAACTGAACGCTTTTCATCATATGAAATATTTTTTAAAACTATAAATCAAAGAGCTCTTCAAATCTGACTCTAGGACTGAGGGCTGGAATTATCTTGAGCTCCTCTTTCAAATTTGGTTGCGCTTCCATCAAATTTCTTTAATGCTCTTTCATACACTACTCTTTAAAATGTCCTCAAGACTTCTGCAAAATCTATCCAAACTGGGAACAGCTATTATATGTAAAAGTACAATTATTTTCTGATACTTTTTTTTCTTAAACATTAATGATCACCCACAACAACACCTAGCTGTACCCTACAGTAATTTCAATTCTATTGCAGAAGGTACTTTTTGCTTGCTTTCAACAGGATGCTGAAGAAGACAGCTAGGTCAAAGTGTATGCAAAACAGACCTGACAGAAGTTTCCCATATTACAACCTCTTGAGCTGATTTTTTAAGTACTATGTAGATTTTTTTTAATCAAAACTTACCACTCATTCTTTGAGTGTCCCTCCTGAGCTACTAACCCGGAAGCACCCATTATCTAAGCTTTCTTCTGATCTTGCACAATTTCACATTCCAAATTTTTGTTCCCAGCACCTTTGTCCATTAAAGCACCATTACAACTGCCTTAACGCTCTTAACCATACGGTTCACTTAGCGAGGAGCCTACTTTTCCTTTCTCAAAGGTAAACACAGCAATTCCCAACCTTCAGCGTTCCCTTCTCTCCCAAACGAACTCAACCTCTAAATATACATACACACACCCTATTCTGAAGCCCGAATTAACCAATTTAGCGCCGCTAGTAAAGAACTTAGGTCCCCAGAAGACTCGCTGGGGGACTGTCAAAGCTTGTCCTCTGCTCTGCTGTCCCAGATAGTCAGCCTACCTCTACCAAAGCTCCCTGGCACGGCCAGCACGGGCGTGCAACTCACTACATATAATGTGTCGCTGACTCCATCATTCCCAGCGTCTCCTGGAATTTCTGCCCATCTCTCTCTTTGTAAATCTCCCACGACCGCCACCCCCAAATGATCCCGTGCCCGGGTGTCCCTAACTCAGACTCCCTCTGGCCGGACCTTGCTGGCGCTTTCCAGAACCCCCTAGAAGAGAGCACGCGGGGCTGAGCGAGTGTCCTCCAGCAGCCCGGCTCCCCACCGACTAGGGTCCCGTCTGGGTGCACTGCCGACGGGGCAGCCCTATGGCTGCAACCGTGGAACCTCCGGCCCGTGACCTCGCGCGTGCGGCTCGCCACTCCACTGCCCTCCCCGGGTGGCGGGAGCCGGAGCTCCGGGGCACACGCCGTCCGGCCCCGACTCTGCTCCGCTCCTCACCTAGCTTCGAGCGGGACTCCTCCAGCTTCTGGATCTGGTTCTCCAAGAAGAGCATCGCCACCGCGAAGGCCACCACCGCCAACAGCTGCAACTTGGGCGGCATCATAATCCTGAGGAGCCCCATGAAACCCGCTGCTCGCGATCAAGACATACCGCGGGGGGCGGGGAGCGGGGCCCCGGAGGCGAGCGAGGCACCGGGAGGAGCCCACCGAGCCCGGAGCGCTGCGCCGCAGCGACCCCCCCTTCTCGCCGCTCCGGTCCCCCGCCCCCAAGAGCCCGCGCCGGCCGCGCGGTGCCAGTCTCCTCAGCCGACCCGAGCGGCGCAGCGCCAAGCGCCTGTCCGGCTCCCGCCTGCCTCTGCCACCTAGCTACCGGACCCCGCGCCCGCTCACTTGCCCGCCCGCCGGCTTCCCTCGCTTCCTTCCTTCCCTCCTGGTCGCTCCCGGCCGCGCGCTCCTCTACCAGCGCTGCGGCTGCGACTGCGCCGCCCTCGGCCCCGCCCCCCTCCCTCCTCCTCGGCCACCACGCGCACGCCTTGACGTACGCTGCCCGGCAACCAGAGGCTCCACCCCCTGCCTACCGCTCCGTGCCGTTCATTGGTCCAAAGAACTCCCGCTTATCGCTCTTGGTGCGAGTTACCGTTGGGTTTCTCAGTCAGCGGGCTCAAGCAAGGCGGCATTCCATTGGGTAAACTCAGAAGAGGGCGGGGCTGAGAAAGGCGGAGGCGGGGCTTCATAGCTGCGGGACGAAATGTCGTGAATGACAAGAAGCACAGGTGTGGGGTGTCTATGGAAGTGCCTGATTTGGGTCATTGAAAAATACCTGACGACTGTTTTGACATGTGATCACTTTTAAGCTCTTATAGTCTACCGACTAACACTCAACCCTGTGCGATAGTAGGGTTGATGGCAATGGCTTTTCGTGGCAGGTTTAGGATTAGGCTCCGCAACGGATGCCCCCGGATTAAGGGTCCTCATGCATCCGGCAATTGACCGTAGACCGCAGAGATGGCGGCGGGGCAGGGCGGGTGGCTGCGGCCTGTGCTGGGGCTGCGCTTACTGCTGGTGACTACGCTTCAAGCGGTGAGTGCACAGCTCCTCTGTGGCTACCTCGGGGCGAGTCGGAAGGCTGGGCTGAGGAAAGCGAAGCCCTCGGCGATGCTGGTACCGCCCTTGGAATGGGGAGCTGGGCTGGGCTTCCTTAGTGACTACAGCTGGAATCGACGTGGCTGAAATCTCAGCTCCAGCTTCTAGGGCTGATCGGCTCCTCGGCCTCAGGCTGTCTAGAATACTTTTACACAGATGTAGCTAAAAGCGAATTTTAAAGTAAAGAGTGCGTTGATAAAGTCAGTAATGCTTGGAAAAGTGGGAAGGTTCCTTTAGTCTTTGAAACACTGCTTACAAGACTCCCAAACCTTTCCGGACACATAATATCTTCCAGGGTTTGGTCCAGACTTGCCTTTTCATCACCATTAACAAAAATGCATGGGTCTGGATCTCTGAAAGGAGAAAACTTCTTTTTTACTTACTTGGCTGTTTATGAAACAGCTAAATATGGATAAACTCTTCAAAAGTTTGCTATTTTAATTTACTTGTCTTCAGCTCAATTTTTCAGGTATTTAATTTATTCAGTGTTTGGGGAGGTTTAGACTATACCATAGGCCTCTAAACACCTCTGCATTTTAATTCATCAAATAGTTTGCAAACATTCTATTTTCCCTGCTTTGTCCAGAAGGTAGATTCTTTACTTCTTTTGCATTCCAATACAATACTGTTATTCAGGCATTTGGTACTTTAGAAATTACTGGAACATCCATCTCTAAATCTTCTATACTTTTCAGTGTTTTGATTTTTTTTCCCTCCCATCTTAAATTATTTGCCATCAACACCACAGAAGGATGTTTCAAGCTATCTTTTAATTTCACTCTTTCAGTATAGACTGTGCTTTTATAAGTACTCCCCCCAAAATTAATTGCTTAAAGCAATTTTACCATTCTTCTGCTTGTAACCTCCCATCTTGCACTAGACTAATTTTTTTTTTTTTTTTTTTCGTGACAATCTCAGGACAACTCTCCAAAAGAGCAAAAGCTGATGATGGCTCCTGTGGCCTTGCCTTGGAAACCACATATATCACTTCTGTAGAGACAAAGGCTAAAAATAAAAAGCAAGACCCCCCCCCAACTGGACCCCAGTACCATCACATTATACTTGTTAAAGTCTCAAGCCTAGGCCATGTTTCAGAGGTGGGTAAGTAGAGTCTACTGCCACATGGAGGAGTGAGAGTCTATTGCAAAGAGGTATCCATACCAGACTAGGAGGAGCTCATGGCCATGAAGCAGTTTCCTACAGTGACCTCCTACTGAATCTTTAAGTCAAAAACCATCGTTGTCATCTTTGACTCCTTTCTTCACATACCTCACACCCTGGCAGCTTCTAAATCTTACTGATTTTTACTTTTTCTTTTTTGAGACAGGGTCTCCCTGTAGCCCCAGCTGGCCTGATAACTACATAGACCAGGCTGGCCTTGATCACACAGAGATCCGCCTGCCTCTGCTTCCTGAGTGCTCGCACTAAAGGCCTGCAACACCACTTCCGGCTTGATTTTTTATTTCTTAAGTGCATCTAAAATCAGTTCACTAACTTAATCATTCATTTGGGCCACAGATCTCTCTCTTTAGAAAGAACAGCCTCTTGCAGGCAGAGCTCTGTGAGTTCAAGGCCAGCCTGGTTTACATAGGGAGTTCCAGACCAGCTGGAGCTACAGAAAGATCCTGTCTTAAAAGACATATATATAACAGACTCTGGGTTTCCCCCTTTGATTTGTCTCTGTATTCAAAACCTAAGGATTGGCTTTATCTAATTACCTTGACCAAAAACTCGTTCCCTTAAATTCTCTGTACTTTCACTCTTTAAATTAGTCATTAAGCCCTTAAAAAAATCTCCATGCCAGCCACTTAATTTTATTGCCACTGACAGTACTTAAATTCAGGCCAGTATCTTTGCTTGCCTGAAATTACCTTAAGAGCTTTGCTAACTGGTTTCCCCATCTCATTTTCTTCCTTTCTGATTCATCCTTTACAATTCATCCATGCAACCTTTATAAAATTTAAATCTGTTGTGATTAAGGGCTGGAGAGAGAGCACAGCCCTTAAAGGCTAAGGCTAACAACCAAAACGTAAATCTGTCGTGATTAAAACTACCACTTGCTTTTAAGTCTGACCTCTTTAAATGTTCCTTTACAAGTCACTTGATTGTTTAGGCTTTTTTCCTCGTATATACCTCTACTGGGAGAACACAAAGTTTTTGAGAATGGAGATACTTGTCTTAGTAAGTTCTATATACTATGTTCTCCCTCAGGAGCTCTTTGAACATGGTGTTTGTGTTACCTAGAAGATAATTGCCATCCTCTCCTCCCTCCCTTCCTCGGCCATAACAGTAATATGCTGTCTTATACTTACTATCTGACCCTCCTTCCATATGGGTTTCTGATAGGTAAAAAGTTGGCGGAGAACGAGAATACAGATAAAACTCCATCGGCAGACTGAGATAGGAAGATCATGTTTGAGACTCACCTGGACTACATATAATGAGTTCCAATCCAGCCTAGGCTACATAGCAATACCGTGTCTCAAAAGAAAAAACAAAAAGCATATTTACAAAGTCAAATGTGATTTTTCTCTTTCCTATTCTGTCCTTATCCTAGCTTATACCATATTCCTTTTACCCATCGTCTTAGCCAGATCATAGCTCTGTGCTTGTCTCTGTTTCTCCTGCCCTGCTGTGAATTAGAGTTGACCAAAGGGAATGCAGGGACCATTTTCTTTTCTTTATTCTTTGCTGTGTCTCATGTTTGTCCACTTCCTTCCCTCTGAGGTGGAAATGGCTTCTCAGTTCCTTCTTCCTTCATGCTTTCTCTGCCATCAATGTTATCCTGGCATCTGCAGCCTTTGTGGAATGGCAAAGAGTCATACACAATCCTCAGAATATAAGAGTTCTTGTCCAGAGTTCAGGTTAAGATCGTAGAGAAATCACTCTTACTAAACTGTCTTGGCTTCCCTATGGTTGGTTCTTGGCTTTCTGTAATGAGTCGTGTTCATAAGAAACAAAAGTCTTGGAAATGAAAAAGGAGTATGGAGAATTATTCAAAATACAGTAAGAAGTTAGAAAAGTTCTTGGACTTCACAGTAGGCCAAGGGGGGAAAAGTAGAGCAGAGTAAGCGCTTGACAACAGCAGGGTTTAGCCAAAGCTTTGCAGCCTGACAAGCGAGTAAGCAGCAACTTGGTGACACCGTAGCTTGTGCTTCAGACAAGTTTGAGAGGTTTTTTTTTAAAAAGCATGTACACCTCTAAATAGCTGTAATTTCAACTTAGCAGTGACAACTGGAAGGGTATAAAATGACTCAATCTGGAGATGCACTCTGAGCACGTGTAGGGGTTCCAAAAGCATGCTGTAGTGCAGCCTAGAGGGGCCTTACTAAGGCACCACATAGCCGTTGTGCACTGTTTTGTTAAAATTGTACACATTTCCATACTCACAGTCTGTCCTGAAAAGCAGCATAGAGTGGTGTGTGCATTCCTGATTCTGAGACACCCCCATCCATCCATTTGTCCACGGTTTAGCATCCCATCTCCATGCATTTTGTGAGCAGTGGTGGCACAGTTACAACTGTCAGCACTTTTGTTATTCTAAGTGACCTATATAGTAATGATGCACTGTGAATTCTGTGCAGGAAGGTAGCCAATAAGGGACTGGACAGATGGCTTAGCTTTTAAAGGCTCAGGGTCACAACCTGAGGGGTTGTCCTAGTCCATTTTCTATTGCTAAACAATGCCTGAGACCAGCTAATTTATAAACAAACTTATTTGCCTCACAGTTTAGGAGGCTGAGAAGCCCTGGACTGGAGGCCACCTCTGATGAGGGCCTCAGATGGTTTCTACTGCTGGTGGGGAGCAGAATGGAAAGTGAGAGAATGGGAAAGACAGACAAAAAATGCTAACCTCCCTTGCCAGAACTGCATGAATCAACTTAAAAGGACCCCACCTCTCATTAGACCCCCCACCTCCCATTTGATGCCACCTCCCAGCACGGCCCTAGTGAGGAATTAGGTAAGTTGGTGACTAGGCTGGGCAACTAGCGAGTTCCAGGGATCCCCCTCTGTCTGAGGATCCAAGTTCAGGTCCTCATGCTTGTATGGGAGGCACTTCATCAACTGAGCCATTTCCTCAGCCTTGGGATTAGACTCTTAATAGTGTTGTTTTTTTCTTGTGTGGTCTTAAACAAATTCTCTTAACACATTAGGTCCCTGTTTCCTTCTTTGTAAGATAGGGATAATCATACATCTTCCTGTGAGTGCTTGAGAGTAAATGTAATAATAATTCAAAGTACTTAGCAAAATATCTAGTGCTGTTAGAACCTCAGTAATGGCCTCCTCCTGGCATTCATTATGTTGAGGTTCCTTCTCTCTAATTCTTTGATTTGCTTTTGTCTTAGATTTGAAATCTGTTCAGAATTACATGAGAAACCTAGCAGTTTCCTGGCAGAAAAGATCACTGAGCCGGAGAGATGGCTTAGTGATTAAGAGCTCTGGCTGCTCTTGCAGAGAACCCAAATTCAAGTCCCAGCACCCACATGGCGGCTAACAACCATCCATAACTCCAGTTCCAGGGAATCTGAAGCCTTCTGACCTCCACGGGTACTGCACAACAAGAGCACACTTACATCCATGCAGGCAAAACACAAAAGTAGAAACAATAAATAAAATATCAAAAAAGATCATTGAAAAGACTGTGTGTGTAAAAGTACAAGTGGAAAAGAAAAGAATTGAATCACTCAGGTTGTCAATTTTCTCAGCTGGAGAAATTAAATGGTCATTGCTGTCAGAACTGTCTTTCAATGTTTGGCCTTAATATGCAAATGTAAGTGTTATTCATTTATTTTGGACCATCAAAAAATAGCCAGTGTGGACTAGGAATATAGTCCAGTGGTTTGATAGAGTGCTTGAGGCCCTGTGTTCAGCAACACAGCATGAACCTGACATGGTGACACACCTGTAATCCCATCATTTGGGAGGTAGAGTCAAGAG